TAACTATTTAAATTTTCAGCTTTTTCCTTTTACAAATTTAAAGTGAAAACAACAAAAACACTGCAAACCACAACACAATTAAATATAAATTATAATATGAAAACAAAAAGAACATGCACATTCTCTGTCATATGGGCCTGCATGAATAAACTTTCTGAATCCTTTATCATCTGCAACCGAAAATAGTTACCTTTCTAATGTGACGTTGTTGTCCCTGGCTCTCTTTCTCTGTCTCTGTTCGTGTGCTACTGAGTGTAACTACCGCCCCTCCCCCCTCTGCCCAGTAAAGCACAAGGCTGGCGTGCAGAGTGAAGCGGAAAAAAAGTGCGAGAGAGGGTGAGAGAAAGAAAAAAGAAAATACAACCCACGTGACGGCTCGCGATAAGGAGCCGGCTCGCGTCGTTCACGTCAAAGACCCGGCTCTAAGAGCCATTTCAACGAAGAACACTGATAGCTTTTCAGCATGAACTCCCACACTAAACGAAGAGCAACGTTTAAGCTAACTTTCACTACAGAATTTTAAAGGGTTACTGTTATTTAAAAAATAATTGCTTCAGCCGCTATATAAGGCAGAATGTTAGCCTGTGATATCATGGTTTCTGTGTTCCTCGTATTTGGTAAGTCAAACAGCAGCTCCATGTTTGCAGCACGTCTTTAATGTAAAGCTAACCTTAGCTTAGCTTGTAGCCTGTGTGGAGGATGCTTTCACTGCGTCTTAATCCTGTGCTTACCTGCAGCATGTCGCGCTGCCTCAGTGGTTTCTGCGGTGTCTTGTCACACAAACGAGTATGCAACAAGGGATGGGCAGTGCTGCCCGATGTGCCAAGAAGATAAGAAAACATTTCTAGAAGTAAACCCGCCCACATTATGTGAGTTCCCGCTGTGATAACAAAGAGTAAATAAAGAGCCGTCTATCTTATTTGATGTTACAGCTGCTTCTTTTATCTCACAATTCTTTAAGTTAATAAACCAGAAAATCTGCTGACTCTTTTTTTAAATCATTTTTTCCCCTGAAACGGTCAACTAACCTTCATTAATAGTTAGAATTGACACAGTTCAGATAATAGCTTTCAGGAAACATCACAAGTATTGTAAATAAATTGTACTGTTTGTCTGAGGGGGCAGCACACAAACAAGTTATTAAGTTGCTCATTCTTTCACAGCTTAAGAAAAACAAAGAAATGTTTTTAGATGTTTCAGACTTTTTTTTATATCAGAATGAAATAATGACTCAGATGAGGTCATAACAGACATTCCTTCAGAAGATGACCTGTAAGTATAAAACGGTGTATATTTGTGGTTTTGCAGGAACAGCCTCCACAGACAGTGGATGCTCTGACTGCAGCAGTGGAACATTAACACCTTGTCACTCACGCACTAAGTGACACTTCAGAGCAGACATGGACACGTGATTTCTTCCAGTGCAACAACTTTTTCATTTTTTTCCCCCTCTGTACCTTCCAGATGTGAGTCACTAAACCAGATGATAACTCCAGGGCTTATGCTCAATGTTGGAAACAAAGGGGAAAAAATTGTTACCATCACTGGCTGTGTGGTGGTTTTAGTTATGATTGCCATAGCTGTAGTGATTTTAACTATTGTCATTTTCAAAAGATGTATCTATGTGAGGATGTCAAAGATCACTGATATCATGATTTAGATGATATTTTCTGTCAAGTGATAACTTTTTTAGACAAAAATAAAACTCAAAACAATATAGGAAATGAAAGTATTTATATTTTTTATTTTATTTCTGAGAAGGAAAGAAAAGAAAATGAAGCACTGAATGGGTCAAAGCAGCAGACAAGACAACAGTGAAATGTTCACTGTGGACTGATCTTTTTTAAAAAGCAGCTAAAAACTCAACTTTTTAAACTTGTATTTGGGTAAAGTTTTGTTTTAATGTCTTAGAATTTTGTAATGAAGCACTTTGCGATATTTAGAGACGATCAGATTTTTACTGCAGCATTATGGAACAAAGAATAGCAGTTTCTAATGTTTTTATCTTTGCTATACAGATTTTCCTTGGAACTGGTTGTGGATGTTTGTGTAGATGAAAGTTCATAGTCAACACGTTCTCAGTCCCAAAGCGTAACATTTTACGTTGCCATAGTTATCCTTGTAATGTATTTATGGGGAATATTTCATAAAAAAGGTTGACCGCATAGAGACAATAAAGAAAACCTTCAACAAACTTGTGTAAAGCAGACTGTAGTTCTTCAGATTCATGGACACTAAAAAGTTTGCATCTTTTTATGAAGTTAAGGAGCCAACATGTTAGTTGGTATCACAGACAGCTGGTTTTATTTCATTTCCTGCACCCTGACATCTCCAGTTTCACAGCCTTGCACTTCCGGCCTTCTCGGTCTTCGAATGACCCGGCCCACGTAGACCGCGAAGGGTGGTGTCTGTCGGGGATACCTACTTTGGCACGACACCAGGTCCTGCAAGGATGCGGTTGAGGGTTTGGGACACAGCTATTAGGTCCTACGATTTCCTTCAAGCCCTCTCCCCTTTTTTGTCTTTGTCTAAACGAAGTTGATCCCCATGTGCCCTCAAATGTCATAAAATGGCTTGTTTTCAGTTTCTGTTTTAAGCCACGAAAACCGTTGATGCTCATTCTTTCCAACAATGAATAGATTTCCTGTTTACACCCACATCAAAACCCAAAAGCGATCATTGCTGTTAGATTTATATGGAAGTTTGGTGAAATAGAGCCTACAAATGTGTTATAAGGCAGCGTGTTAGGATGTGATATCTAGTGATGTGCGATACCACTGATTTCCTTTCCGATCCGATACCAAGTAATATTCAGGGTGGTATCGACGATACTGATCCGATACCGATACTTTGTACAAAAACGTATTTTATTTATTGTATCTCAAATTATAGCGTCATAATGATTACAGGGCATCAGATTACTTGT